CGTCTCTATTTTCAGTTTCATAAAACCTGTCATAGATGTTGTTGGCAAACTTTTAACAGTCCAATAAATCATCTTCTCACGTGTGTTTCTGCTGTTTTCCTGCAGAGGTGGTGTGAGAGATAAGATATCAGCATCTTCTGGATATAAAGAGAAGAAGAGAAGCCTACCCTACCAATGCTTCCACCCTGACGTGTGCCAAACCAACAAAAACAGACTGCTTTAACTTTAGAAACACAGCCAAGTCGGACGCCCTCTGGAGAAAGTGCCAGAAGAGACCTTAAAGAGACACTTAAATACATATACAATGTTTGCAAAAAGTCTTTGTCCATCTCACTGTGTGTGTCATGGTGCAACATTTGTTGAGTTTCTTTAACAAGTCACCTGCCGATTATGTGCTGCACCTTAAAAGAGTCGCTATATATTGAATTTTAGAAAAGACAACTTGGCTTATCTTTATAATATGAATTGTTGTTGTTGTTCTTGTTATGATGTATTGTTATCGTTCTTTTAAGTAGAAACAAAAGCAAAGTGTGTCTTGAACTATTATGTTATTTAACATGTGGCGCATCAGAAGAGGCCGATATTCTGTATGTTAATGTATATTTGCCTGATTATGACAGACCTGTGGAATAAATCCTTATGAAAGGGGCTGTTTGTCAGTGAGTGGTTTGCTATAGTATAAACTAATCGAAATAATGTGATTTTCATTTTAGTCTGGCTATATCATGATGGTAGAACAGTGCTTTATAATAATAATAACTAGATTCTTAAAGTTTGAGGACAAACTTTGAGGCTGGCTTGTGAACGCCTGATGGTAATAGTTTATTTAGTTTAAACAGTTTTAAAAAGTATGAAAAGATAGATAGATAGATAGATAGATAGATAGATAGATAGATAGATAGATAGATACATTACCATGTTACTAGCATGATTCTAGCGTAAATTAGCATGTTACTAGCATGATTCTAGGATGAATTAGCATGTTACTAGCATGATTCTAGCATAAATTAGCATGTTACTAGCATGATTCTAGTATGAATTAGCATGTTACTAGCATAATTCTAGCACAAATTACCATGTTACTAGCATGATTCTAGCATGAATTAGCATGTTATTAGCATGATTCTAACATTAATTAGCATGAATTTAGCATGAATTAGCATGTTGTTAGCATGATTTTAGCATGTTACTAGCATGATAGATGGATGGATGGATGGATGGATGGATGGATGGATGGATGGATGGATGGATGGATGGATGGATGGATAGATAGATAGATAGATAGATAGATAGATAGATAGATAGATAGATAGATAGATAGATAGATAGATAGATAGATAGATAGATAGATAGATAGATAGATCGATAGATAGATAGATAGATCTGAACCTCTATAATGGCAGTCTATGGGACCGTTGCTAGGGTGCCGTATCTGGTTGTTAGGGGTGTGGCTAGAAAGTTAAAAGTTCATCAGTTATAGGTAGTTTGGTAGTCTGAGATAAATGAGCCCAGTTAGAAGTCTGTGTGACAGTCTGATGTAGAGTTATGAGGTCACAAAGTTTGACCCAATGTAAAGTCAATGAGAGTCTTTTGCAGTGGAAGTCTATGAGACAGTTTCTAGGGTCCCAAAAGTGGTTGCAAGAGTGTGGCCAGAAAGTTAAAACCTCATCAGTTATTGGCAGCTAGGTAGTCTGAGTTAAATGAGTCTGTAGGACAGTCTGATGCAGAGTTATGAGGTCACAAAGTTTGGTGCAATGTTAAGTCAATGGGATTTTTCCAACGGTCCCGGGACGTTTTTTGGAAAACCGAAAGTCGGATCAGTCCGAAAAGATATAGCAACCCGAGTCAGACCAGTTTGGAGGTCTGGTGTAAGTTTGGTGGTCATAGCTCGAAAGCTCTAGGAGGAGATAGAGTTTAATTTTTAGTCTCAGAAGAAAAATAGGATAACAATAGTCTGGCTTGCTACACAAGCCAGCCTAATAATTCCTTACATTTTTATAGCGCTTTTCTGGGCACTCAAATCGCTTTACACATAGGAGGGAATCTCCTCATCTACCACCAGTGTGCAGCATCCACCTGGATTACGCGACAGCACCCTTTTTGCACCAGACCGCACACCACAGAGAGAGAAGACAGCGTAATGAAGCCAATTATGATATGGGGAGGGTTAGGAGGCCATGATGGACAGAAGCCAGTGGGTAAATTTGGCCAGGATGCCAGTGTTAAACCTATGGGTTAAACCCCTACTCTTTGTCGAAAGACAGCCTGGGATTTTTAGGGTAAATGCTGAAGCATGCTAATAGGACTTTTAATTTTCCAGTAACCTGGGTTAAGCGCTTCCTGTGTCCTGTATGGCAATGGAAAAATCAGCACGTGTAAGGTCTGTTTTCTTTAAAAATCAGCAATCTCCACTGGCTGAATGATATCCGATATAAAGTGGCTCACAGGTTGTACAAAAAGCACTGCATTAAATTACATTTTACCCCACTATGTATTTATAATATGAGCATTTATTTTACCCCAGTATATTCAATGGAGCTTCTGCGCTAGCCTGCCGATGCTGATGGGCGAGTGCGAGTAAAAGGCATTTTGTCTCGTTTTACGCTTGAACAACTAAATGAATGCCAAAGTTTATTTAACTGAATGTAGTTTAATTACATTACGACATCGATGCTGTAAAAGGAACCGTATATAAAATAAAAAATAAAAAACTCACAATAACAGGTCACCGGAAGATAATAAGTATGGAAACAACAACACTAGATCGGCATATACCTAATTATATTTATCTGTCTCCATATATATTGAATATATTTAATATGTTTTTGTCCACAGCAGACTGCAACTCGCCATGACGCAGATTCCCGAGTCTGTGTCCAATGAGGTGAGCCCTCTTCAGCGCTCACCATGACAACGAGACTCACAGCAGTGACGTGCCTTGTAAAAGTTTGCATCTGCATCCCTATAAAGCTCGTCGGTTCTCTCTCAGCGCTATCAGTTCGCTCGTGTTGCTGTTTGTACTTGACCAAGGTGAGTTCAATACCGACGGTACGAGTGGAGCCACGCCAATATTACGAAGTCCGCTTCGTGAAGCTTCACTCGGGCCCGTCTGTGCTGTAGTTCCTTGCGGTTTGCGTACATAAACACAATATCGCAACGAACATTACGTGTTTTATTGCTCGAAATGTGCCGCCGAGCAACATCCAGTGAATGCTGGCACGCACTCCCTGGGGCGAGGCGCCTTTTGAAAACAAACCAACCTTTGCAAACAAGCCCTGAGGACCCTCAGGGAAACACGGGAGGCCAGAAGTGGGACCTCGCTGCAAAGGTTATAGTGGGTGGGAGTAGCGAGGCCCACTCATCGTCTATTATCAAACTTTAGTTTACTATAGTTTGAAATAGAAACCATGGTAACTGTTATGATTTAACTTTATGCAAAGAGCTTAGAATGACCAAGCGGCGACACTCACTAGAACGTTCCATTGCAACAGCCCTGATTCCGCCATTTTGAAGTGAAAGCGATCGGCCTTCCATTGGATCTCATTGCTGTCGCGATGGCAAGCAGCTGCTTTGTTTTTAAGTAATTTATTCAAAAGCGCATTAAAGCTGAGATGCAACCTGAGAGACGACAACAGAGCACTTACTATTAAAAGTGTTGATAAAATGTCCGCTGCGCCATCTAGTGTCTGTTTCCCAAATTGCACGAGTGTCGCCTCTTAATGATTCTATGCTCTTTGCTCTATGTCTGACTGTTGTAATGTTTTGCTTTGTTTTTCAGCTGAGTTGTTGAGCAAAGAAAGGACTATTGAAGACAACCGCAGGTTATATTCACTAATGTGCGCATTAGAATGTTTCCTGGCTGTTTTCTGAAAGTTTATCTTGTTTAGATAAGTTTGCAGGTCAAACAAAATAAACTTTACTCTTCTAAACACCTGTCTTGTGTTTTATTTGTCCTCAATACACTCTCAGATAAGTATGTTGCATGCATTTGTATGCAACATTGACAATACAGTAGTCTAACATATAAATAGTTGTTATAAATGTACCTTCATTAGTCAACGTGTAGGTAATAAAAAGTTAATTAAAGATGTCCTAAGACATAACGGTACTGTTATGGTTATTACATAACTGTATATTTCTGTATGTTTAAAACCATCAGATTATACTATATATTTAACATGTCAGATGTCAACTTACTGTTATTCAAACATTTGCTTAATAAAATGTCCTAAGACAAGAATTGGTCTTGTTTTGGTTTTATCAACCTACTGTAGGTTTTAGGTTGAATACAGCAGATATAGGCTACCTATATCATAATATTGGTAGTCGGAGTATTTTAATAACCCAAATCAAGTAAAACGTCTCTTACTCAAGTACTTTTAGCTTGCAAAAGTCAAATAGGCGACATCTAATGAGGGCGCTAACTATTATTAACGTCCTATCCTGCTTAACTCTTTTACGCTCTTTGAGACTCTTTGAGTGATTTCAGAGAGATTTAGCACATATGAAGTAACAGCGTACCATATAGTTACACAATGCAGTATTTACTTTGCTCGTAAACATCGCTGCTGTTCTCATATCATGGTCTGAGCATAAGTTTCATCATTAGCCCTGACTGTCAGATGTTCATCTCAGGACCTGTATTTTAGTTGCTTGATAACAGATATAAGGTGAGTTATGGCTGGTGTGGACGCTGCCAGACGGGCTTTCATTCATTTTGGCATGACAGGAGCGAACAGCTACAATTTATGCACACATATTGTATACAGTGCTTTATTGCCTTTTATATTTTAAATGTAACTTGTCATACTTCAGGGTCATCTAACGTTTTGAAAGTATGAACACTCCTAAACCAGCAAGTAAGAAGCGAATCTTCGAAGCGAAGATATACGAGCCAGCTCCAGCTTCTCATATCAGGTTTGATCCTCTTAAGTTATGTCACTGTAAATACAGAATGCGCGCCTTCTGGTTTGAATGACAGCGGTTTCCTCCAATCAGCGCGCAGGGCAGAGCTTGAGGGCGTTTCCGTGTTCCTCGCGGCCTGTTTCTGTCGGTCACCTCCTGCTGCGCAGTTCTCGCCGAGCGAGACGCGTCCTCTTCCCGGTACTCAGGCGGGAGAGGCCCGAGCTGAACGCGTAAACATCGGGCGTGGGACGCATGATTTTAAAGGACCGGGTGCTGCAAATGGAAGCGGATGGTTTTGTGCGCAGGCGGCGGATGACAGCGGACACGTCGAGTGGCGACGCCGCGGTGGCAGGAGCTTCCGCGGGCGCGGAGATACACTGGTTCGGCGGAAGGTTCTGGGGGGTTTCGGAAAGTCTCGTCGGCACTTTGACACCTCGGATATCAGGAGAACCTGATCTTCATGTTGGACATTTCTATGGCTCCCAGGAGGCCAGCGATTTATCTGAACCGGACTATGAGGGTTTGCCTCAAGGCGCCTCCACCAGCACACACATGCTGGCAGGCGCAGTGGCAGGAATCATGGAGCACTGCCTGATGTTCCCCATTGACTGTGTAAAGGTAAATAAATGCAACTGCTGTTCTTTAACGACATTTTAAGAAGAATTTATTGTGCAACTATGTGCTACAGGCCCTTGAGAGATTGGACAACCTGCCAAGGTCGAGCTAGTTTCCCTGACTGATTCACTAGCTAAATATTTTATAGTCAACATTCTTTTAATTAAATATAATACCTCCTCATTCTGATCATAGTTTAGTTGTTTACCCACAAACTGAACCATTGCACTTCACTTACAATGCAGCATTCGATAATGGCAATAATCATTTGTAGTCCTGTAATCTCTCAAACATCTGCTAATCTGATAATAAGTAGCTAAAACCTCAACTAAGCACGTAATTCCTCCAGCAACTGCCTTGCCTCTCTGCTTGCTGTAGTTATATGATTGCTTCCTGTGGTTGTGAGTGTATGTAGTACCAGTCTTTCTGCAAGGTGTCATTATGAAACATGCACATGAGATGGGAAGGTCACACGTGGCTTCTTCGCTCCTAAACCACATGACCTTGTTGACGCTCCTCCAGACTGGTGCGCATGCGCGTCCGCTGTAGTTCATAAGCATTTTGTGCATAATTCGTTGGCTAGCATAGCGACTGTACACTTTAAAGCGTATTATGTTTTTTAACATGCTTCAGATCAAACAGAAGTGATAATTGTGTAAGAAGACAACATAAAGACAAGTCATTTCTGTTCTGTCAGTGTTGGTGCCGCTTTGCATAGAAAGTGTTTGGATGCTCTTAGTAAGGAAGTGTTCAGCTGTTCATGTTAGGGTGAAGTGAAGGGTTCTTTAGAGACAAAAACACTTGTTTTATGACTTTTACAGCTGTTCTATCTCAAATGCGCCTGTCCAGACTGTGATACTAGAAAATAATAAATTTTTATTCCTAATTTATGACACCAATTTAACACTTCAATGTGGTCAGGTCATCGGCTCATGAACATTTTCTACTTGTTATCAAACTATTTCATAACTGTAACAAGAGGCAATTCAGTCATACCTTAATGTTAAAACAGCTATTATAACATTATTTATCAATGTAGCTCTTTTTGGAAGCTATAGAAATTAAAAATGTAAAACAGGAAATACACTTTATGCTTTTGTTTACATGCCTTAAAATTGTCTATACATTATTAAGGGTTATATTTACACGACAGCCATGTTACTAGATGGCACTTGATATGGACAACATCATTGTCAAAACATTCCTCCTTCACTCGGACCAACAGAAATGACTGAAAGCATTGTGTCTGGGCCAGGACAGTAGTTTCAATGTAGCTTTGTAAAGAAGCGCACATATTATCCGCCATTGTTGATTTGGTTGTCAAGCATTCACACATGGCTTATTTTTTTAATGAAACGTTCAACAAGAGTACAAATTTGCCAGGGATAATATAAATCACAATAGAACATAGTAAAGCCATCTCAAAGCATGACCACAGTGATGTTTTATAGGTCACATAGAATACAGTCAGAGGGATATTATAGAAAAGAGACAATACTATAAAATTCACATAGTGTTTTTCATTTTAAAGCTTTAACATTGCTGAAGGTAGAGATTGTTTCCAAGTAATATTTTAAATCTTTACAAAAAATAAGAAACAGGTTTTACAGACAAACATTTGCTTTTGTGTATAATTTTTTTGCTAATAAAATAAATAGATTTATTAGAGAATATTTATATTTTACTTTATCTACATCAGTGGCTCTCAAACCCTGTACATCAAGTACCACCTCAGAAAAAAACTGTCCCTCCAAGTACCACCAAAATGATCCGTATTGAAATACAGTAGCGTAGTAGACCCAGTAAAGCAGCTACAACTCTGCACAGTTAAAAAACCTGGCGGATTACCTCAGAAATATAGGCTATATGTCATTTATGGAATATTATTTACATCATTTTTGATAAATTTTGAAATGTATGTAGCATGTACATGACATATTTCATTCCTCCAAAAAAAACTAGAAGGAACCATCACTAGTGGTACACGTACCACAGTTTGAGAACCACTGAGCTACATGATAAAAGCAAATAAACTTCCTTTTATAACAAAGAAAAATTAGGAGACTCACACGTGGCTGAAACCTGTAACGCAGATGAGCATGACTACACAGTTTTCATGCATTAAAGGTGCAGTAGGTGATTGTCTTCAGAAACCTTTTTTGTGTGCTGGTTGAAAGTCTCTTTTGTATTCTGGGTAAGGCATAAAACTAAAGTTCATCCAGTTAAATATTGTCAGTCCGATAACTCCCATAACTCTTATAAGTAGCCTATACTGTCTGTCAGCAAATGTAGATTTGTGGAACGGCGCATCTCTGTTCATGCAGATCTGCCATTTGCACACACATGTTGGACACGAGTGACAGCTGTAAAAACAAATTCTGACTCAAAACTTTACAATCCTGAATTAGTATTGAAGTTACTTTTTCACGCTGGTGAAAGGATGACACCATGGCTGAAGTATTTCTTTTAGACAGGGAATGTAATGTTTTAAAACATAAAGTTTAGTCAAGCAAAGCTTATGTAGATTTTGTTGTTAGGAATGGGTTGTATGAACGCAAGTGTTGTTCAGTCACTGAAATCTCCCACTTTATGACAAGTTTAGCTTGCTAATTACACAACTGAAAATATGCTAGATATATTACAGTTTTTCAATCAGAATTGTGGTATTATAAGGTACTGTAAAGTTTCTAACTGACGAATAACATGAACTAGTGGTTCACTGTCATCTTATATGTGCGTGTTCATTATTTCAGGAGGTGTGGCTTTAGACGGCTGGGTAGGGATTGTGTTTCAAATATATTATGCTAACTGATAAGCATTTAGTCAGATCACCTACTGCACATTTGCACATTTTTTAAAGACTTAGAGAAAGATAATATATTTTCAAAAATCTGCATTCTGAAACTCTTTGTTAAAAGTTAGATTTTTGCAGACTTTTAAACATGATTGAACAGACAAACACGTGCTGCTGATGATGTGACAATAAAAGTGGTTTGAAAACGTATAAGATATTTTTAGAAACCATGTTTTATAAACACCCCTTCACATTATAATATAGCCTGTATAGGGTGTTTTCTCCTCTCATTTTATTTGCCCAGAATGCCACATGTTGTACTTTTGTAGAATGGCACACGTTATACATTTTTTTTTATTATTTCTTGTTGAATATTTTGTCTCATTTGGACATATGTTGCAGTTTAAATGGACTTTTAGAGTTTTTTTTTTCTTTAAATAAAATGTATTGATTCAGATACATGAGTTTTCAAGGAAGGTGAATGTACTAGAGTTTTTGTTTGCACTTCAGTCAAAGGTTAAGTTAACCTCTGAATGTGCTACATGACACAATGCTCTTTTGTTTGGACGAGAGAATCAGAAAGAAGCAGAAAGTGTAGGACGTTGACATAAATACAGCCAGTTTTGGCCACAATTGACCTGACATTATTTGTGTAGGGGTTATACCGAAAAATCATGAGTTAAGAATAAGTGCAAAACATTTTTTTATAAATAGAGGATATGATTTTGCCATGTGGATATCCCAGCTGAAATCCATTCATTAAAAAATGTAAAAATAAATTGGCAAATTTTGGATCTAAAGCAGCATTTCTCAATGACGTTCCTGGAGGACCACCGTCTCTGCACGTCTTCTTAATCAAACACACTTGATTCAGATAATCAGCTCATTAGCAGAGGCTGAAGGGTATGTAATAGATGTGACGGACAAAAGAGACATCCAAAACATGCAGTGTCGGTGGTCCTCCAGAATGTGGTTGAGAAACAGTCATTTAAAGTAATGCTGTACTTCTGCGTGTATTAACTCTTGGTGATATGGACCATGCCTACGCTTATTTGACCCCCAAAGTCTGATTTTTAAAGTTTACATAAAGTGATCACTCCATTCGATTCAAATTTATGCATCTGTTTTGTAATATAGTTTCAAGTCAAAGCCAGCTTTGTCAATTTGGCCACATGTACAAACATGTACAGAGAATTGAAATGATATTATGCTCAGACCTGTTTTTACAGATTGTACTTAACATTATAGGAGGATTGCCAAATGTACAAATAGAAACACAATTTAAAGGGGATAGTTCACCCAAAAAATAAAATTCTCTTTATTTAGTCATCCTCCACTTGTTACAAACCTGTTTGAGTTTGAACACAAAAGAAGATATTTTGAAAAATGTTGCAAAGCAGCAGCCATTGATTTGCGTAGGCATCTTTGTTTCTATACCATGAATGCCAATGGCAGCTAGTTTTCAACTTATCAGAATATTAGAATTTCTTGTTTTGTGTTTGACAAACAAAAAAGAAATTTAAGTTTCTAACCATTTGAGAGTGAGTAAATGTCGAGGATTTATTTATTTTTTTGATACTATCCTTTTAAGTATAAATATTAAATGCAATAAAACATGTGCAACAAGTTCAGATGGAGCTAAAGAGGATATTTAAAAGTGTATTAAATTGAAGTTAACACTTAAGTTACCTGCAGAGTTCCCAGTGACATTGAAAACCTGAATAAACGGGAAGTTGGAGATTTACAGACCTGAAAAGTTGTAGAATATTTCTGTAGTGCAAATTATTTGGTTACTCTAGGCCATTAAATCAAAAGGAGTTTTACTATTTCTTATGACTGAAAAATGTAAGAAATGTACATATCATAAACTGTTTTTACTTTTTGTACTCTTCACTGGTCACAGTGTTTGTTTTGCCCTTGTCCCAACACTTGTTGCTCCATAGTTCGTGTACTTCACTCTAGATAATGTGATAAAGGTCAAAACACAATTTACTGTTTTGGACCCTTTTCACATTTTCAGGTTTCTCAACAGCATAGGTCATTGTCCGCTTGTTAAGTGTGACGTCACGCGAAGCGGCTTCAGGGTCCAAGCGGTCTATTCAACTGAATGGGGAGAAATGGTAAAAATAAACATTTACAAAGCGATTTAATACTTTCGAAAATCATGATCACAATATATATGTCCATGCCTAATATCCAATAGCCAGAAAGTGATTAATTTTTTTATAAATTGTTAAAATTTTGGTATTTGTTATGCAGCAAGCCTAGAGATTGTTGTTTACACTATGACTTTATATAAAATTAACTTTAATGTGTGATATGAATGAAACGTGATCATAAACTAATGATTTCTCAACTCAAATGAATGGCGGCTTGGACCCGGAAACAGTATTACATATGTCACAAACACGTCACCACTTAACAAGTGGATAGTTTGGTAAACGTAAAGTGCAGCGAATAGGGAGAGTACAACAAATCTTAATTTAGCATGCCTATTTGCTTAAACAATGAAGAACAACTCAACAATGGTGTCATCAAGACTTTCAGAAAAAGGAATAAAAAAAATAGTGAGAAACTGATCCAAAAGAAAGAACGGCGTCAAATTTAAGGCTGATATATATGTCTTTATCAAGCGCACGCGTAAGGTCCAGTGCAGCCTTCGTGCAGCCGCATAGCCCTAGCCATGGCTGATGGTGACGCCGACGCTGATGCGCACCTTTCAAAAAATGTAACTACACGTAACGATGCATAGCACAAGCTCTGTGATTGATCGGCTTCGTAGCAGTGACGAGTGTGAGTGGAGTGCTGAGAGCCGCGAACCCGATAGAGCGATTGTTTACAACTGTCGAGTCCCATTAAGGAGCTCCATATGGATGTTTTGTGTTAACCTTATGATTAAAGTTGATTTCCACCTCTAAATGAGTGAGTTTTAGCTAGTTGTAGCATTAAAAAAAAAAAAAACATCCGCGAAGAAACTCGACACAGAGGAACATAAAAACCTGCCAGCTAGCATTCCGGAAGTTTCATTGCAGAGCAACACAAACCGCAGGCAGAAGTATAAATGCACAACTACGCGCATGACAGGTGCCGTGGGGGACACTGATCTGACACTTTTAAACTTGTCTCACTCATAGACACGCATGATGCAAAGATGATATGCTAGATAGACTATGCATAGATGATATAAAAGTATAGTTAAATTTAAAGTTGTTAAATTAACCAAATTAAATGAAGGAAAACCTTTCCACAAAATGTAATTGTGTTATGTCAACTTATTTGAATTTTGTTATTTCAACTTATTTTAGGCTAATAGAACCCACAAGCAAAATTTATTTTGAACCAATTAAACCAACTTAATTGTTCCTCTGTGTCGAGTTTCTTTGTTGGTGTTATGTTTTTACTGAACACTACCTTAATGTTGAAGTGGCTCAAACTCGCTCATTTTGATGTAGGAACTAGCAGATGTGGACATGCTTTAATCATTCGGTAAACACGAAACAAAAGTATCCAACACTTGTAAACACTCGCTCCATAGGGTTCACATGGCTCTCGGTCCCGCCCACACTTGTCAGTGCTACCAAGCCGATTAATCACAGAGCTTGCGCTACGTGTCATTGCGACGTGTTGTTACACTTTTTTCAGTTTTGAGAGGTGCGCATTGGTGACGGCCATGGCGAGGGCTATGTGACCACGCGTAGGCTGCTCCGGAGCATACCCGTGCGCTTGACACAGAAGTATAAATCAGCCTTAAACATGCTGCTACTTCTGCAAGGTGTTAACCTGAAAACTTTTAAATCATTAATCTAAGTGAAAAATAAACTCTAACAGGAATACACTTTTTTTTCCAACTTAAAACTCCTATTACTTTTATTGTCAAGTTAATTCAATCCCACATAAAGCATGCTGGGAACTACACATCAACTAATCTGGTAGTTACACCAACACCTTTCCTTCATGGTTGTCCCAACACAAAACAATAAAAGTTAACTTGTTTTTTTACAAACCAAACAGACACTCTTTAACAAACTGTCAAAAAAGTAACAAGAATTGTGTTGTTTCAGCTCATTTTAGTTAATTTTAGTTAATTTGTTTTGTGTATGTTTATTTTTTTTTTAGCAAAATGTTCAAATTGACTGCTAATTATTGTTAAACACATCATAACCGTCTTGTTAAAAGAGACCAAGTAAGATGGACACTTTCGTCATTTTAAAATAAAAAACTAAACTATTTAACTCTTTGTTAATCAGATAATGATCAGTTCTCTATTGTGCAGATTGATCCTCCGCTCCCTGTTCTGTTACGCAGTCCTGAGTATTTCATAAGCAACCTTGAAACTTCCTGTTGGAGGTTTTAGTTCCTCACAGCTTTTTCGTGATGACAGGCTTTCATACATGATTTACACACATTTATTGGCAAACATATTTATTTCCGGGTCCTTTTATCGAAGTAGGGTTTCCTTACAGGAATAATCTTACTACAGCTCCCATCTTAATTTTTACCACACAGCAGCTGCTGTTCTGAGCAAAGATTTTCAGCTATATCTTTCAAACATGACATTCGTGGTAGGATGAAGTTGAGTGGTTTCAATGCCACAATGTAAAACATGTTGTGCAACCAAGTGCTTTACTGGCTGCTTCATCTATGTCATTCCCCTGATGAAAGCCAGTGATTCTAGAAGTTGTAGTGTACTGAATTGCATCCGCGTTTCACGTCAGGTGATGCAGGAGCGCTGCAGGAAAAGAGGATTAGTTAGATTATGTGACCTCTGTGACTTTACTGCTGCAAACTTTAACTACAGTTTCAATGAATTGCCAATGCAATCCATCGTTTGCAATAAATGATTCATTGTCATATTTTTTTAAAATACAGATTTGTGTATGATTGTTTATTTTAATTAAATTTTTAGATTATTTTTAAGTATTCACACATAAATATTTTATTTTTTTTGATGAATTTTCACATTTTTCCTGCAGGCCTAGAATGTTTAGATAATCACATATCTTAAATGAAAAAAAAATCAGTATTTCATATTCATTATTATTATTTTTTTTAACTTTAACTATAGTTTCAATTGTTACTTTAGGGAATAATATTTTTCCTTAAAATAAGGCTGCTTGATTATAGGAAAAATTAAAATAACAAATATTTTGGTCATAATTCTAACTTCAACTGTAAAAATACAGTTATTTTCCTCCCTGTAAATAAGGGAAATAATTTCAATAGAACAAAAACATGAAACAAAAGCATCTTCAATGTAGGAAAAAAAACTTTAATTCTAGCTATAAAAGTCCTTCAGTGAGCGATTTTTATCCTTTTGTTGTTTGATTAATGATAAAAACATTCGGCAGCAGGAATATTGCGCACCGTCACTTTAAGAGCAGTGCGGCTCTGATTTATAGTTTTACTTTCACATGGCTTTTGATCCTCAACTCGTTTGTTTATTACATAAATGAGGGTTAATATGAATAATCACTAAACACCGTGTTTTGACACAAATTTTCTTTCATTTGACCATTATTTTGACCAGATGTGCTCTGCTCGTCTCTGAGGCTGAGCGCACAGACACAACAGCATGCAATCTCTTTCGCACTTTTAAAAACATGAGGGATTTTAATGAACATGAATCATGCGCATCCTGTGCTGCAAAAGTTACATTACAGTACATGCTTTTAGTCATTTTCAAGTGGAACTGAGCTTTGCAGAGCAACAAATGTGTACAACTGGAAAGGGGGCGGTATATGTTATTTTTATAATGGTTAGAAGCCAAAATTAAAATCGAAACTGAATTTCGATTAATTTAATTCATAATTAAATAAATAAAAATTTAAAATGTTGCAAATCCCTGCTTATTTCTAGAACGTTAAGGTCATATTTTCAAGATGGCTAATATGAGGTTTGCGGTAATTGTGAGAATGCTTTTTGATAGTCTTAAAAGCATCAGATTTGTTGAAATAAATATTAATTCACTGTATGATATACTATAATTTCCAGATATTTTTTGTTCATTACATTTTTTGCACACTGATCTAAAATTGCTTAAAATAAAATAAATAATACAAAAATATTATGTGCTGAAATGATAATATCAGTCAGTCCAGAACAAATCCTCAAATCCCTGCTGTTAATTTCTGCATTTACACAGCAGGCCTTGTTAAGTTGAAATGATTGTTCTTTTCTTTCAGACACGTATGCAGAGCCTTCAGCCAGAGCCAGCTGCCCGCTACCGGAACGTCATGGATGCTTTGTGGCGAATCATGAGGACGGAAGGGATCTGGCGGCCAATCAGAGGCCTGAATATCACAGCCGTAGGGGCGGGGCCTGCCCACGCACTTTACTTTGCCTGTTACGAAAGATTGAAAAAGGTCCTCAGTGACATCATCCATCCTGGAGCGAACAGTCATTTGGCCAACGGTACCAGCTTTCCTGTCCAGAAAAATTGTATACAATAATAGAGTACTTTTTGAATTGAATTAGAAAAAGTACATTGTCCTAGATTATAGCTGCAGATTAACTGTATAATATTGCGCAATACATTATGCTAAACATCTATTTAAGTTTTAAAAGGCTGTTTAACTATCTTTATTAAAGAGATCGATTGCTCAATTTAGTTGTTAATTAAGACACCCCTTAGGCCATAAATGATATACCGTAGGTCACTTTTTTATCTTCAGTAAAACATTTAAAGATGATTATTAGTTAAATCTAGTTTTTAATGATTCATAATTCGCAAGGCAATGTTTGCTGGCACTTTTATGCTGTGTTCACACCAGACGCGGAACGCGCGTCAAGCGCGAGTGATTTACATGTTAAGTCAATGCAAACGCGCGAATAGACATCCTGCGGTGCGATTTGCGCGAATGGCGCGGCACGAATGACGCGAATTGCGCGGTGCGAATAGCGCAATATATGCAAATGGCGTGGCGCGAATTGAGCGTTTTGCGCACTTAACGCGCGTTTCACGCAAATCTCTTGAGTTCGAAAATCTGAACTTCAGCGGACATTTGCGCCGCATTAACCAATCAGAAGCTTGCTCTTGTGGGGGCGTGATTGTGACGTAGAACCTGTTGATGGTGTCCCTGGGGAAATCTTCCAGCCGACACCGACAACAAGTCATCAAACTGAACTTGGCTCAGACAGAAGCACCGCTGAAAGCCTCAGTCATCCAGGTTCAGTTTCTGGAGGAGTTTATGAGCTCACAGAGCTGGATGCACCTCTGAAAGGATGTAGTGGACTCAGACACTGCCGTTTTTCAGCCTTCATAAAACACAAAAACACTGTTATTTTCTTCATAAAATCCATGTTAGCCATTTAGCAAAGAAGTTAGAGACACCGGGCAGACAGAAGCCCTGCCTATCACGCGAATCCACAACTGTTCTGAAGTTAATTTGACGCGCGAATGAAGCGGGGTTTGACGCGCGAATGAAGCGGGGTTTGACGCGCGAATGAAGCGGGGTTTGACGCGCGAATGAAGCGGGGTTTGACGCGCGAATGAAGCGGGGTTTGACGCGCGAATGAAGCGGGGTTTGACGCGCGAATGAAGCGGGGTTTGACGCGCGAATGAAGCGGGGTTTGACGCGCGAATGAAGCAGGGTTTGACGCGCGAATGAAGCAGGGTTTGACGCGCGAATGAAGCAGGGTTTGACGCGCGAATGAAGCAGGGTTTGACGCGCGAATGAAGCGAGTAAACTCAAATGTTCACGTGGCAATTTTACGCGGATTTATCTGTGCGTTCCATGTCTGGTGTGAACACAGCAATAGAGTCAAATAAAGATTTACTGGCCAAACAAAATGAATGTTCTCTGTTAGTATATTTTGAGTTCAAATGAAGCTATTGCTATCTGTCATTGTTTAGCTCCTAAAAGTGCTCAAGGCTATTTGTCCAATCAGCAGGGTGTCCACGGGGTCTTATAATGTCATAAATTCCCAAAACATATTGTGTTGTAGGTCTTAAATAATTTTTAACAGGTAGTAGGTATAATTTTAAAAGCTACCCAATTGCGCCGATATCCATCCAATCACTAACAAACCATCTAAGTATAACTTTTTTTTGTTTTTGTGTTTAATTTTTATCACAAAGAGACAATTCAGAACATTTGTTAGGCATTGTTTACATTACACAATGCTTCATGATCATAACAGAGCAATATATCCATTTACATTATTACAAAAACCTTTTCAGAAGAAAGCAGGAGCTGACATAATATTTTTAAGGAGGCCTGAAACCTAAGGTTTTATTACAGAAAAGCATCAGGTTGAATAAATAAATAAGAATGAGCTTTTAATTGGCCTATCTAGGGCTGCACGATATAAAAAAATGACATTGCAATATTTTTTTTCTGTGATGCATATTGTGATTTTGAGTATAATATTAACAGATTCAATGAATAGCTCTGTTTAGAAAGAATTAATAATTTAAGGATCATTTTTGATGATGATATCATAATTTTGTAGGAGAGCACATCTGCATAAAATGTAATGAACCAAATCACATCATAAATAAAGTTAGGAATTAAATAAATGCTTTATGGTTTCTCTGGAAGTCTGAAAGTATTCGGTACACAAACTGAATAAATACATTAAAACAAATAACACTGTTTAATCATCATTGAATATACACTGTACATAAATATAAATAATCTTTCTTGAAGTTAGTGACATTTTAATTTCCTGTTCCTGAATGCTTTAATCTGGCTTGAAATTTATACACCGTCACAGGCCTTAAAACACAACAGGCAAATTATACATTTGTTTTGTGACTTTATGGTTAAACTTTGCAATTACTCCACAATCACGTGTTTTCAACTTCTATTCAACTAGAATTCTAATTCTACATTGGAGATCCTGTGATGTGACTATTGCGGATTTGGACATTGTAATATTGATGCTGAAATGATATATTGTGCAGCCCTAGGCCCAGCCATTTGAAAAAAAATCCTTAGCTTTTGCACTGTAAAAGTCCAAATTTTCATTTGTAGTATTCTTTAAGAAGTCATAAAGTCTTTAGTTTGACTTGATGAAACCTGCAGAAACCCTGGGCAGGCAAATGTATTCTAATATATTTAGATTCTTGCCCAAACTAAGTTTTTTGCTTTACAAGACCTAAGTGTATCATCAGGAGCCACGTGTACTATATCTTTGCTTTATTAGGTATTGACTTGCAATATATGAATCAAAGTCAAACTCAATTCACAATCTTTAAAGTTATACTCTAGAAAACAAGTCACATACAACATTTCCTTTAGCATTTTAGTTATGTTAAATGTAAATATGGCAAGTTCAGCCACTAGTTATTTGCCAGTAGCTATAGGTTATTTGTATGTATTGTATTGTATATTACTGAAACATCTGCTCAACTGACCTCTTTGAAATGCCCTTCCAGCAATGAGGTCAAATCCCCAAAATAACCCAAAATGCCACTCTCCAATATCACACCAGCAGCTATAAATATAAGGGAAGTTCATGCGGGTAGTTCAACGTTCTATGGAAAATTAATGTAGTATGTTTTTGTAGTTCGTGTTTTTGTTTTAAACATTACCTATAAATAGCTTCTTTAATGTCTGACTAATCAGTTTAAAGGCATTGGAACACTTAAGGGTAAATTGGCTAATTCTTAGAGCTTACCTTATATGCTAAATAAATAATTTACTTTGTTTAAATAACATTCAAAAGAAACATGTAAGGCTGTATGTTACTGGGAAAATATGCAATATGCATATATATGAGTGTTGCGATTAATGATATTTCTGTTAATAAACTTTCAGCAATTTTTAAGTCATTTATGCAATGATCATACTAAAATAAACAGATAATGGAGATCTTTTCGTTAAAAATTTAACAAATACATTTTTTGTATAAAAACTATACACAGAATATAATTTTCTTCATAATGAATATACTTTTAACAATGTAAAAAAAATGAAACACTGTTGGAAAAAAGTGTATGTATTTTAGGGATGGAACAATACTATTAGCCCACGGTTCAATGCATACCTCGGTTTTCTTAACACGGTTTTTGGTTCGGTTTTCATGGCTTTGACACTTTTTTTTTCTATAGGCAATAGGAACAGTAAGAGGTTAAGGAGAAAAAAAATAAAAACGATTTATTGCAATACTCATTTTGTTGTATTTAAAAGCCAAGAAAAGTACACTAGTTCCTAGTGTATTGTATGAAAAAATGAACACTGAAATCTCACAGCTGCTGTTTTCACTATGTGTAGTAAAAAATGTGTAGTATTAATTATGTCAGGTTAATAGAAGTCATTGCTGGTGGTGTTTTGTTGTGTGTTTTCTTTCTCTTTCCTCCAGGTCAGGCTGAAAGGGTGGTAAGTAACTGCTGGCATATTACTAATTACTACTAGCAGAGTTGGCTATAAATTGAAGGAAATTACAAGTTGAAATCAATTTACCTAAGCTATGTTGGATTATGATCTTCAGGCACATATCATATGGGTTACCATACAGTAGTCAACATTTGAAGTGAATCAAAATTGTCATAAAAGACACAATTTCCATATGTTCTGGAATTGCCTACTGCTGACAAATTTCTGGTCCAGTGTTTTTGATACACTGGGAAGCTGTTAACATAAATCTAGACCCTGACCTCTTGGCAGCCCGTTTTGGCTTTTCAGACAGAGTTAACTATTGCATCTTGCCAGGAAATTGCTTTTCCTACTCTTTTAGCAGGACAATCCATTCATCCCAAATAGACACACAGGTACAGATCATTTGGTATCAGAAGTGGCTTATATGAAAGGCAAATTCCTCTAGATAACGCTTAGTTTACCAAAATAAAGTATGATCATGCCTTGAATTTTAATGATTTAATTAGGACAGTTAGGTCTGAGTTTGCTTAAAAATCTTGTCACTTAACAGAAATAATATACAGTATAGAATATGAAGTCATGATGCAGTGGAGAAAGAATGAATATTGTGTATGACTCCCATGAGCTTGGAGGACTGCATCCATACTTCTCTGCAATTACTCAAATCCCTTATTAAGAAAGTCATCTGGAATGGCAAAGAAAGTGTTCTTGCAGGACTCCCAAAGTTAATCAAGATTCTGTAGATTCATCTTTATTGCCTCCTTCATCTTACCCTAGACATGCTCAATAATGTTTATGTCTGGTGACTGAGCTGGCCAATCCTGGAGCACCTTGACCTTTCAAGAGCACCTTGAGTCAAGTTATTATTTTGTTGCCCTTACAACTGGGATGGACGACCAAACTTTTGACAGATAGTGTAATTGCTCCATCACATGACATGTGGATCCGAGAAATCTTTAGCTGCATAAATTTTGAGTAGCTAATATGTTTACTTGCAGAATCTCTCTAATCCTGTTTTAGACTATATCAGAGGCTTACCCTGTTCTGCTGATATCAGCTCTGATACACAGTGAATAACTGGAAAGAGGAAATATTGACTCCTTAAAGCGATCTCTTCATTTTTTTTCTCTCTTTTTTACTATTTTATTGTTAAATTTGTTCTTTTTTAAGTTTAATTAAATTTTGTTTTATTTTGAGGACATAGTGGTAAAATAATAAAACTAAGACAGCCTGTAATTTTTCCTATTCTATATTATATACTACTATGTATAGTCTTGTTAAATACCAATAAAAGTTGTCCTTATACAAGATGATGTTTAAATGTTGGGATGATTTCGATTGATTTTAAATGTTGCCTACTGTATGTGTGTTTAGCCTACAGTGTACACCAACAGAAGCAGTTTTTCCTCCTCTTACTCTAAAGCCGAGACCTGTTAAGTAAATTCCAGTATCCTGAACAAAAGGCTCTTTCTGTCCTGACTTCACATTCCCCTGAGTTTATCCAGCCAATCCCTAATCTCTTTGTTAAATCATAAAGGGTGGTTTGGACAGTGTTTTTGTCTGACTGTGATTTGAGCCGTCTGTATATCTGATGGTGTGAGCGCAGTGACTGTCCGCTCTGTTTGCAGGCCATGATTGTGATGCTAATGTCTGAGGCTCTGTGTTACAGGGGCTGCTGGATGTGTTGCCACATTGCTTCATGACGCTGCCATGAATCCAACTGAAGGTATATTTGCTTTATTGTCAATAATAAATTCCAGTACAAAATGTTAATAGTGTTTTTACATGCACTACCATTCAAAAGTGGGGACAGTAAGAGTTGTTTTATTATTATATTATATTACATTATATTATTTTATATATATATATATATATATATATATATATATATATATATATATATATATATATATATATATATATATATAAATATATATAAATAAAAGCTTTGGATAAAACTTAATGTTGTGTTAGTTCATGTTTGACCAAATGTTGGTTAAAAACAAGCCAGCATATTTTTTGTGTGTTTGTAATTTTAAATTACAAAATTCAACCCAATCATTGGGTTAAATTAATTTAATTAAATTAAATACAATATTTAATTTTTTTTTCCTATGAGTAATGCACAAATACAATTGTAGCAGCTTTACCTAGGAGTAAAGTCTTTGCTTTTGGTCTGTTGGTTCACTTTGCACTCCCATCCAGGAGGTGGCAGAAAAGATCCACATTTCCAAAAAAAAAAAAAAAACACACAAATATGAGCAATTCCCTCAACCTTGCCATGTAAAAATTGTTTCTCCAGAAAAGCAAAACCCTTTTTAAATTGTTTTTGTAAGCTTATATTTTACAGTACTGTAAAAGTACTCTATTAAAAGTCAGTAAAAATTATATTTTTTATAATTAATATACTGTTAATATATACAGTTAAAGTCAAAACTATTAGCCCTTTGAATTTCTTTTTCAAATATTTGCCAAATGACATTTAATAGAGCAATATATATATATATATTTTTTTTTAACAGTATTTCCTATAATATTTTTTTTCCTATAATATATTATATATTTCCTATAAGTCTTATTTCTTTTTATTTCGGCTAGAGTAAAAGCAGTATTTGTTTTTCAAACCATTTTAATGTTACTATTATTATTAACCCTCTTAATCAATATTTTTTCAATTGTTTACAAAACAAACCACTTGCCTAATTCACCTAGTTCAGCCTTTAAATGTTACTTTAAGCTGAATACTAGTATCTTGAATAATATCTAGTAAAATATTATGTACTGTCATCATGGCGAAGATGAAAGAAATCAGTAGAAATGAGTTATTAAAACTATAATGTTTAGAAATGTGTTAATCTTCATTCCATTGAACAGAAGTTGGGGAAAATATACAAGGGGCTAATAATTCTGGAGGGCTAATAATTCTGACTTCAACTGTACATTCTTTGTGAATCTGTATTAAAAGTTTTCACTCTAAACGTCACATCCATAATTGCTCACACATCCTTGTGGGAGCAGATTGGCCTTGCTCTAATTAACAGCTGCTCCATGTTGAAACAGTAGCATTAGCTGAAATTCCCAAGAGCTATAAATCTCAGTCTGACTTCAGCGTCTGCGCTCTTAAGACTCAAGGTTAACCAGCGCAGGTGCCAGACCGAGTCCTTGCACACACACCTGCTCTCTTCCACTGTAGTCCGGTCCCTGCAGACCGCTCGACTGCAGGTCAAACAGGAGGCGCGTTTGATGTCCAGACATATCTGCTTTGACGGGCTCTTCAGTATTTCAGCCATGCCTTAATGTCCCCCTTCCTGTCTTCTTTTGTTTCCTGTCTGACCGCCTGCAGTGGTGAAGCAGCGGATGCAGATGTATAACTCGCCATACCGCAGCGTCCTGGACTGTATGCGCTGTGTATGGCAGAGGGAGGGAGCGTTGGCCTTTTACCGCAGTTACACCACGCAGCTCACCATGAACGTGCCGTTTCAGGCATTGCACTTCATGACCTACGAGTACCTGCAAGAGCTGCTCAACCCCCAAAGACATTACAACCCCTCGTCCCACATGGTGTCGGGCGCACTGGCGGGCGCCATCGCCGCCGCCGCCACCACACCGTTGGACGTTTGCAAGACGCTGCTGAACACGCAGGAGTCTCTGGCTGTCGACTCCGTCAGCCGGAGCGGGAGACACATCACAGGTCTCGGCCATGCCTTCCGGACTGTCTACAGGCTTGGCGGACTCCCTGCGTACTTTAAAGGCGTTCAGGCTAGGGTTATTTACCAGATGCCCTCCACCGCCATCAGCTGGTCTGTCTATGAGTTCTTCAAATACATGATCACCAAACACCAGCACGAGAAGCGCAGGATTCAGAGGGATGCAGAAAAGTAGGCGCCCTCGGCTGTTTTTGTTGTTGCAAGCACTCGAGGACAGAATGAATAAACGATACGCACATATAGAGTCCAAACACTCACGTCTGTTTACTTCCTGTCAGTCTTGCATTCAATACTGAATAATACTTCTTACTTTCCTGTATAACTCAGTTAATAACCATGACCTAATTTCACACTGTGAAGGCTCAAGTTTGTTCATCAGTCATTGCATTCAGATAAACCTCCCACAAGAGGGCGTCACAACCCACTTTATACTTGCAGGGATAGTTCACCCAAAATGTGAGTGATTTTTTTTGTGCTGAACACAAAAGAAGATATTTTGAAGAAAGGTGGAAACCTGTAACTATTGACACACATTAGTTTTTATACTGTTCCACACAATTCCTCCATGTTGTCTCAACATAAATTTGGGTGACTTAATTGTTTCAAATTTAAGTGGATTAAACGTAAAACGTCTAAATTGTTACCCAAAAAACTTAAGAATTGGGTTGTTCCAACTCATTTTAAGTACACTCACTGGCCACTTTATTAGGTACACCTTTCCAACTACTCGTTAGCGCAAATTTCTAATCAACCAATCACAATGCAGCATCTTATTGCATTTTGTCATGTAGACATGGTCAAGACGGTGTGCTGCAGATCAAACCAAGCATTAAAATGGGGAAGAAAGGGGATTTAAGTAACTTTAAACGTGGCATGGTTGCCAGTGTGAGTATTTCAGAAGCTGCTGGTCTGCTAGGATTTTCACGCACAACCATCCCTAGGGTTTTGAGTTACTTTTGTCTTTCTATCAGCTCGAACCAGTCTGGCCTTAACACATCTGGCATTAACAAGGCATTTAAGCCCACAAAACTGCCTCTGACTAAAAATTTTTTTTTTTTGTGGACCATTCTCTGTTAACCCTAAAGATAGTTGCACGTGAAAATCCAAGTTGTTCAGCAGTTTCTGAAATACTCAGGCCAGTCCGTCTGGCACCAACAACCATGCCATGTCCAAAGTCACCTAAATCATTTTTCTTCTCCATTCTGATGCTCGGTTTGAACTGCAGCAGATCGTCTTGACCATGTCTACATGCCTGAATGCATTCAGTTGCTGCCATGTGATTGATTAGAAATTTGCGTTAAGAAACAGTTGGACAGGTGTACCTAATAAATTGGCCAGTGAATGTAGTTTGAAAAAGCTACGAAAGTAATTTGAGTTTGAGTCAATTAAGTTCTCTTTAAAATATCATCTTTTGTGTTCAACAAACTCAGATGAGTAAATAGGGGGTACATTTTCATTTTTTGGGTGAACAATTTCTTTAAAATGCTAATGAGGAGGCTGTCCTGTTAGTGTGAGGGTGGAGTTTGGATACTTTCCCAATTTATTCTGAGTTCCAGACTGTTCACCAGAGCAAACCTGACCCCTATAATGTATTCCCAGCCAAAAAATAAAATCAATACGCACAATAAAAGACATATCTGTACATTCAATTGGGATTTTCAATGTCATTAAAATTATTGTTTATGGCAGAATGTAGAGCTGTACAGTAATTTATTGCCTTCTCTGACTGAATAGCACTCGGAGACAACAAAAGATATCTATGTTATTTTTGTAGTATTTGGCGGTGGCATTTCATCAGCACTTGTGGGGAAAATGTTCCCTCAGTTGATCCAAAGGCCTAAGGCGGAGATCGCTGCCTTTTCTATAAATAGTTTTAGGTCCCTTTGGGACGACGTAGATCTACAGAACAGCTTTAGGATGACACCAAGTCCTTTCAGGGCAACACTAATCAACTATGCCTTAGACATACAGATCACATGACCTGAGTGATCAGATTCAGTATCCATTGAAGTCTTTTTTCAGTTCTTTATTGGTTTGATTTCTTTCTTGATGGACACTGGAATGTATTTTGGTGTGCTCTTAACAGAGTTTGAGCTCTTTGAGAGTTTCAGCTGGTACACACCGGTTGAACATGTATGGAGTTTTATTTGCAGAAGTCTGACTACCCCATTCATTTTTTTTTGTTCTTCAGCTTTCAATAAATTGGCAGTGCAGGGAATTAATTCCCTTGCTTGCATAAGCTAATGTGCGTGTGCTTTCAGTTATGTATTTGGAAAAGTAATCTTCTGTTTCACCATTTTTTTAAAATTAAAACACACTGAAAAACCCTAATAAGATAGCTCAAATTCCGATTATTAGATTTTATTAATTCTAATTAATGGCAAAAAAATGTCAAGGTGCAAACATTTACAACGTAAGACAGAGAGCGAAATTATAAGGCAAATTATTGTCTTTGATCATTTGTTTGATATGATCAAGAATACCTTGAAACTAATGTTTAGATTAAGAATTCATCAATAGTTATTGCATTGATAACACTTTCAAATAAGTCCCACAGCTGTTTAGATGCTTTTAAAAGCAAAAATTGAAAAATCAATCATATCTTTGGAAGAAAGTTTGATAAATGTTGGTAACCAAACAAATAACCATTGACAGCCTTATTATTTTCCTACTGTTGAAGTTAATGCTGTCAAGTGCATGGTGAGTGTATTAAGACAAAATTAAAAAAATAGATGAACTATCCCTGTAAGTTCAAATATTGTAGCGGCATTTTTGCTTCAAGCCGGAATCGCGGTAAGGGTAAACAATGACGCGCGAGTCCGCTGTGAATCCTTTTCTCATCTTTATTTTATCACATCTTGTGCCATCAAATCAGTGAAATTGCTTCTCAGTAGGACCCGTCACCACACACAAACTCACGGTCTGAAAATTGTATCTGCTTCCCTTACTACTCCTACTACCTGGCTTCCTTAAATCCCAGTTTGAACAGAATAAAAGTCTTCATTCACAAAATCACAACAATAAAGCAATTACTTAGACATGAATAAAATATGAATACAAAATTCAAAATACTCAAACCTAAATACAACAATTATTAGATGTAAACTTAATAATAATCATATTATCCAACCAACCCATTTAATCCAAACATAATAATAAAATAAAGAAATGGCTTCAACAAATATTTTTATTCTCAAATGTATTCACCATTTAAAAATGCACATCAATGCTTTCAAACCCTCTAAATGATCAAAGATTTCCATTTAATTTGCACCACTATACAGAGCTGTGATATTTGTTTCTGGTCACACATTGACTGAATTGTTGCATGTATTAACTTGTTGCTTTCTTCCTCATATACTCATATACTACTCAGTGTCTTCTTAAAAACTACACTCGGATACATGACTTTGAGCTCATTTCTCTGTGGAATTTGTGCGCCGGTGTCCTGGAAAATGAAGGAGCCGCACACCTCTAAGCCGTGCGAGTTGAAAGATCTCTGTTGGTGGCATGTTCAGTGTTTGGTCTAAGACACAGGTGCACATGTGACCTTTGACCATCAGTTTCCCAACAATTGCCATGGGGTGTGCATGCAGGAGCTCTCACTTTACCTGCCTGCTAATGTCTGGGCAAGAGGGTCAAACGTTTCTTTCTTTACACGTGAGCTTTCTCTGATGAAGCCCTGAAAAGTATTTAGGGACTTAAATCGTGGTTTCTCAGAGCCAACGCTGCGTTCTCTGGCTCATTTTTGTTTTGCTTTCAAGCACCTGGTGTCAAGGCCGTTTTAAGTTGATTTATGAAGTCACTTCCCCTCAAGTTCACAGGTGTCATTTATCAGATTTACTCTCATATACTGTAGCATTCATTTTTTCAAAACATTTATAGATGAATAGTAAAACCTGATAAGTTAACTCAAACTGAACACTGTAAAGTATGCAGGATTCCACACAATTTATTTTTGTTGTCCCAACACAAATCCATTGAGATAACTGAACACTTTTAACAAATTTATATGGATTGAACATAAAAAAATTAAGTTGTCCCAATGAAATCTCAGGAATTGTGTTGTTTCAGCTCATTTTAAATAAGTAGTTTGAACAAATAAAATTATTTTTATTTTTTGATTGCAGCAAACCATTTAAAGTTTTTAAACCAAATGATTTGATTACTGTAAACAGATTGAGTCATATATGTGTATATATATATATATATATATATATATATATATATACACACACACACACATATATATATATATATATATATATATATATATATATATATATATATATATATTATATAAAATTATATATATATAATTTTTTTTTTAGATGTTTTTATATATTTAATTTTTATGGATTAAAATGATTTTTGCTGCTTATTGAAACTACTTATTTAGAATAATCAACACAATTCTTGAGGTTTTTTGGACTAATTTGAATGTTTTATGTTCAAAATCCACTTAAATTTGAGGTTATTTTAATCGATTTGTGTTAGGACAACATGAAAGAATTGTGTGGAACCCAGGACTTTTTTTTCCAGTGTTTAGTTATTTGTAACTTAAACGTTTTAAGTTCAGTTTTAGGAACCAAAAATAATAACTTGACTTCTAGTTGATCACTGGGTTTCAGTAGTGACTTAAATGAAAGGCAAAGGCCTCTACATTACACTTATTTTACCAAAAATATATATATATATGATTGTCTTGATTTTAATTATTTAATTAGGACAGAAAGGTCTGACTTTGCTTAACAAAAGTCTTCTTACTTAAAATAAATAATGTTCAGTATAGAATATAAAGTCATTCTGCAGTGGAAAAAGAATGAATATTGTGTATGACTCCCATGAGCTTGAAGGACTGCATCCATACATCTCTGCAATGACTCAAATAACTTATTAATAAAGTCATCTGGAATGGCAAAGAAAGTGTTCTTGCAGGACTCCCAGAGTTCATCAAGATTCTGTAGATTCATCTTTAATGCCTCCTCCATCTTACCCCAGACATGCTCAATAATCTTCAAGTCTGGTGACTGGATGGGCCAATGCTGGAGCATCTTGACCTTCTTTGCTTTCAGGAACTTTGATGTGGAGACTGAAGTATGAGGAGCGCTATCCTGCTGAACAATTTACCCTTTCCTGTGGTTTGTAATGTTATGGGCAGCACTAATGTCTTGATTCCTCAGGGTATTGATGTTGCCATCCACTCTGCAGATCTGTTGCACACACAATACTGAATGTTACCCCTAAACCATGATTTTTCCTTCAACAAACCTGCCTGATTCTGTGAGAATCTTGGGTTCATGCGGGTTGGTATAGCTTCTAGCACTAGAGTTAAAACAAATATAAAAATTAATTCCTTTATGACTCATTCGGTTTGAGTTCTGCTTCAGTTTTTGAGTTTTTTTAAAAGTAATTTCAAGGTATTTTTAAACAATGTTAAGCCAATTTATTCTATGTAGTGTTTTTTTACTGTTAGCTTTAGAGTGTGACGTACTAACATATAGTAATATATACATATTATAGTTATACTATAATCTATAGTGCATTGAAGGAGTAAATAATTTTATTTAGCATGGATGAGTTGTGTGATATAATGTATTTTTTGCCTAAGTAATGTTCTTGAATCAATTAAATAACCCTGAAAATGTCAAAAAAAAAATGTTTAACGTTTTTGATAATTTGGCTCATTAATAATGCTGCACCTATAATAACTGAGCACCAGATGAGCATATTATTTATGAAGGATCATGTTTTATTTTTTGAAATGCAAATTACAGAATTAATTTTTTTATAATTTAAAATATATATTTTTTAAATACTCAATCTCCAATATGATGATGACATGCTTAGTTATTATTGGTGCTTAATTATTAATGATTAATGTCATAAACAATTTTTTAGGTTGATTTGATGTATAGAATTTTTTTAATATATAGAACCTTTTGACATCTGCTGCACACATATATACATATACAGATATATACATATATTGATTAAAGGAGTGAAATATTTTATTTAGCATGAGTACTTTAAAATTGATAAAAGGTGATAGACATTTACATAAATTATTTCTATTTTAAGTAATGTTCATTAAAATTCTATACATTGAAAATTCTATGCATTCTAAAGAAAAGTGAAAAAAAGACTTGACGTTTATGATAATAATTATCATTAATAATAGTGCACCGTCAATAACTGAGCCTTAAATGAGCATATTGATTATTTATTAAGAATCATTGGAGTAATAATGCTAAAAGAAAATATGTTTTGCATTAAAAAAATATAAAATAATCATTAATAAATGATTATTATGCTAATTTTGGTGCTCAGTTATTATTAGTGCATTATTATTAATTAGTATTAATATCATAAATGTTGAAAACTTATTTTTTCTGATTATTTTATGTAAAGTTTAAGTGAATATTCGTTACAGTAGAAAGATGTACATACAAATGTCACATTTGATTAATTTAAATCATCCATGCTATAATAATTCATTCCAAAATTAAATAACTATAATAACTGATCACTAAATCAGCATATTGATTTATGAGGGATCATGTGGTAGAAAGACTAGAGAGAGGATACAAAAAACAAGGTTTGCATTGCAAAAATAATAATTTTTAAATCTAAAACAAATTAAAAAGGTACCTTAAATTGCAGTATTTGTATTTCAGTTTAATGGAGATTTTCTTGAACACAAATTTCTTCCTAAGAGTGTTTTTTATTATATTTGCCATTTGTATATTTAACATTAAATGAATTTTATATGTAAAATGCGATAGATTTTAGTGCAGAAATGTACTTATATTTTGTTTTGTTTTTTTGTTTTTGTTTATGTCTGTAGTTCGATGTATTGTATGCAGTAACATAAATGCATTCTTAAATGTATCTTTTTTAAGCCTAGCTGTCACAATAATGTCTTAATGATGTAACAACAGCATGCCTCTGATGATAGGGTTCAGAAATTCCTCCCTTTTCTCTGAAGGTATGAGACAGAGCAGTTGACAGACGAAGAAGCATCAGTCCCTCAGGCTCAGTCAGCTGAACGTGGACTTGACTGTCAGTCTGCCAGCTGGAAGAAATGGACTGTAATGGATCCACATACTGCGAGTTACACCTGATTCAAATGCCCAAGAAGAGGGAAAAAACTGAAATGCAATCCCACACAGGTATTAATCCAGCTGTAAAATAATTACGCAATTATTATTAAGGATTACAGCCTCTTAGTTCTTAAACAGTGT